ATTATAAACTATATTTTCTTTTTGTTTTTTAGCCGTTTGTAAACTATGTTATTTAATATGTTTATTGTGACCCCGTTTAAAAATTTTTCTAGCTCTGCCACTGACTATGGTGATCATTTTGTTGTTGTTGGACATCTACATGCTCTTGAAACTCGACAATAGGGAGCATTGGGAGAACAATGATCTCCTGACATTCAGTATTTTCATGCCTCATGGATCCACACCTTCTACAGAACTTCCTTAGCCTTTCATATTCAAATTTTATTAGCGTTGGCTCTTCTCCTTCCAACAACTCCACATAACGAGTAAAAATAAGCTTAGCATCAATATCCATCATTACTCTAACCTTAATCTCTGCTGGTATTTCACCATTCGGCTCTCTAATTATGATTTCACCAGCCGTACCCAATGAGTTCCCAATATCTCTAACAGTTTGAACATTGCGATACTCATTAGGGAGATTATAAACTCGGATCCAAAAAGAGACCTTACGCAAATAGGTTGGCTGACCTCTATTAACCCACTTATCCACCACAAGCATCCACTCCTTGAACGTCCATGGTCCTCCTTCAAGAACTGTAAGCATATGGTGCTCCTCGTTGAAGAAGAACTGAACAGAACCATCATCATTCACTTGTCCTTGGACTCGACGCTCCATTCTCCAAGCAACAGGAAGAGTATTCTTCATATGCTTTGGGATCTGATGGCGAGGATTGAGGCCCCTAACCACAAGACTAAGCCGGTTGTTCTTCTCAGTTCGATTTATTGTCTCCGGTTGAAGACGAAGTGGCTCTTGATCAGAATCTAGGCTTAGTTGTTGAAGCGATCTCCACAGATCTTGATCCATAACCGAAGCAAAAACAACAACAAGACAAGAGAAAGGGTGAGCAGATCTAAAGGATTCAAGAAGAATTAGCCGAAAAGGTGATCGGAATCACTCGTCGGAAAGTAAATCGAGATCGACCGCTGGTGCAGGCTTACTAGCTGATGCCGAACCACCTTGTGGTGCTGATTTGCCGCCCGAAGCTGATCCGCCAGGTAGTATAGGGCCTTTCGCCGAAGCCGAACCTTCAGCTATAGATTTTCCCTTGTTGATGTCTCGTCCACCACTTCCGGGAGTCAGTTCGGTGTTGAGGTCGATCGGACGACGCCGACGAAGCCGCTGGGCCTCCGAAGGTGTGGAGAAGTTAAGCGCTGTTGGAGCGATACGGTCCACGACGTGGGGTGTAAACCTCGCTGTTTTCCCGTGGCTTGCCGCGGTTAAAGAATCCATCCGTTTCTTCATTGTGCTGTTAAAGCTGTCCTGCTCCGTTGTCCTCTTCAGGATCTCCGAGAACATGCCCTTTATCTGCGCGATCTCCGCCGCGAGCTGCAACGGGTTTTCNGTAGTCTTGTCCCCTGCGGTGTTGTCTTCTGCGGGCGCGTTTTCTTTTGTTTGCGGATTGGCGATGTCTTTGGGCACGTTCGCGTTTATCTCTAGATCCTTTGCCGCTGATCCGTCTACCCCGATTTGCTGCTGATTGTTGTTTCCGTCGATGGTCATCTCTTCCGATCTCAGCGTGGTAGTGCTTGTTGAGTAAGAAACTTTATTGTCCCCTTAGATGGCTCCAAATTGTGGCGGTCGAATCTCACAATTAGAATCTAAGTGATTCTTTAGGGTTTGTAAAGTTTTGTCAAAGCAAGCAAACACAAAGATCTCAAGAGAGTTTTTATTAGCTGTGAAGAAAGCTGTTACAAGAGTTTTTGCTTATGAATTCCGATCCCCCTCTTTGGGTGAGAATGAAGAGCTATATATAGTGAAAACATCTAAAATGGGCCAGCTAATAAAATGGATCTGGTCCATTAAACAATAAATCTAATTTAGGCCCATTATTCTATTAAGCCCATTTTGCTCATGGGTTTAATGTCATTTTGGGCCCAGATTCAGGCTGAGCCTTCGTAGATTCGTCGTGATTTCATCAGGATATTGCGGAGTTGATCTCGTCGCTATATCGATCTCACAGGGGTGAAATATGACCCCTACATTCCTCTCAGTTCGATTTATTGTCTCCGGTTGAAGACGAAGTGGCTCTTGATCAGAATCTAGGCTTAGTTGTTGAAGCGATCTCCACAGATCTTGATCCATAACCGAAGCAAAAACAACAACAAGACAAGAGAAAGGGTGAGCAGATCTAAAGGATTCAAGAAGAATTAGCCGAAAAGGTGATCGGAATCACTTGTCGGAAAGTAAATCGCAGATCGCGAAAGATGACCCTAGAATTTTCGGGAAGAGACAATAATGTAATTATCTACTTCAAACGGCTAATTTTCCAGTGTTGATAAATGTCAAATTCATGTGATTGATTGTCATAATAGAAAAAATATAGCTAAACGGAATCGAAGCATGGGTTTTGGTAAAAAATTCAAACATGATATATATAACAACTACAGTCAAAGAAGCACCTAATGAAAAAAATGAAAATCATGTATTCCTTCAAATAATGCAAATAGAGAGCTACATCCACTCCACGTGGTTATGTGAACATCTTTAATCTAAAAATTGGAGTACAACTAAAAAAAAAAACAAATGATACAACTGGAGCTTCCCAGACATTGACTTAGTCAACAGTAGCTTGCGAGACATTAACACCTGTAAATAACCTAACCTTTACATCTTTCTATTTTTAAGTTTTACATTGTACCCAAAAATACAAAGTATAAGATCATTGAAATTTTATAGTTTAACTACGATCAATAAAAAGTATGGCAGGATCTGTTTGCAAGACCATATCTTCGTTGTAATTTGAAACTGTTGACTCTTTGTGATTACAATGTACAACGTTTACAAAGCAAAAAAAGAGTTCTAATGTACAGCATACGATACTCAGATCTTACACTTAATATCATATAAGGTTTTTTGTTTTCTTTTGTATGCACTTCATCGCAAACTTTTTCTACAAGCGCGTGAATCTACACACGCGGTGATCTTTTCTCTCCAAACGAAAACCTAAGTTCCTCCGTCGCTCCTTTTCTGTTCACCTCTCCGGTCTCCGTTTCGACCGGTACTGTGAGAGGGCTCTCCTCTTCTCTCTTTTGTTACAATCTATGCGATTTATTCCTCTTTGAAGATCTAGTTTTGCTCTCGTTTCCGTGGTGAGTGGGTCAGAGAACTGCCGTATGTGACGGCCGCGCCTGAGTGTTTGGGTTTTCTCCGCCGTGGCTACTTGCTCATCGACAGCGAGATTGTAACGCCCCAGACCATTGGCTAGAGCCAGCCGGCCTAGATAGCCATAACCCAGACGCAACGGGACGGTCAATCTTAGTTCTTTAGAACAAATCCAACACTTAGGTTCGACTATCCCAGAGCGTCCTTCCCATCCAACACTCCCCAAGGCTTACCAACAAGGGTCATGCTGGGTGGTTGGTTCGGTCCGAACTAGATCATGCATCATTATCACTTGATAAAATTCTTAAAACACTTGTTTTATTACTTAGCTTATACTTAGGCAAAAATCCGTTTTACAAGCATATAGGGTTCAAATCCACGTTTCAAAGGCAATACATAATAAAACCGTAAGTTTTGCAAGAACACCAAAATCACCTACGTCTGATGATCCTACCGTCCAAAGTGCCCCTCTAACGGATCCCGACTAAGGTTCTTGCAACAAATAGAGTGGGATGAGTAATCTAGAATTACTCAGTGAGTTAGAGCCTTACTAACAATTAAGTATAGGATTCCCCGCCCAAACCCAAAATAA